ATCCCTGTCTGCGCTCCCCTTCGTCATCTTCATTCTGCCAGAGTTTTCGTTACTGCATTCTCTGTGATTTTGTTTAATTATTTTTCCACTGCAGATGGGCAGTGAGAAGGTAAGGAGAATAGCCATTTGATGTGCAGGTTAGGCCATTTTGGACTCATGTTTTCACTTGTAGCCTAGAGATGGCCTAATTTATAATTTAGATCAAGTTTCCACCTTTGCTGGAATCAGAGAGTAGGGATATGAGATTCTGCCTTGCGTACCAGGCTGGCCTGAGGAGCTCACTTCTGTGAACAGGGGACCAAGATCTGCTTCTAGAAAGTAGAAAAGGCATGCAGTTAATGTGTGTTTCATGTTTTGAGACTCCACATAAGATGCCATTAAGAGGTTTGAAAACTGCTTCATTAAGCAAAGTTTTGTGGGGCCTGGGGATTTAGCTCAGCGGCATAAACACCTGCCTTGTAAGCAGGCAGTCGTGAGTTCAATCCCCAGTACCGATTTAAAAAAAAAAGTGAAAAAAAAAAAGCAAAGTTTTGTGAATTAGTTACTTCTCTATCTTGTATAAAAGTGTGAGTGTTACATAAGTAGGCCTACATATGTAATTAGGCTTGGTGTTAGCATTATTAGACTTACTTTTAGCCATAGGGTTCAGAATGAGTTGATCTTTTCTTTAACATGTGAATTTTGATCCAGTCTGTTATTTGTTGAACAAACAGTTGTTGCACACCAGTGCCATACCCTCTTACTGATCTCTCATTCATGGGGTTTAGGAAACCAAATGAAAGGTAGCCAAGTATCACAAGCATGAAATTATATGCTATGAAACAAAAACACAAGAGAGGTACCCAGAGTAGATAAAAGTGAAGTTCTTAGGATGAGTAAGGGTAAGCTAGATTATGAGAAAAGGCAGAGATAATCAAGAGAGAAAAACCTGTCTGAAAGCTCAGAGGCAAAGGAAGAGTATTAGTGTAAAATGTGTGTGTTGCATGAGAAATATAATCAGGAAAGGAAATAGGAAGTAATAAGCAAAGAAACTGAAGTGAACAACCAAGTCCCAATTATATGGTCCATGATGATATATTTTAAAAAGTTTATACATAATGGAAACCCTCAAAGAATGTTAAGCATATAAGTAAAATATAGAATTTAGAAACGTTCTTCTAGCTGATGTGTGCGTATTAGTTGGCAAGAGAGATATCCAAGTACAGGGCCATAGGAGATTGCTGTTATAATCCTGATAAGTAACAAAATGACTTTGAGGGCTGGGATGTAGTTCAGAGGTACAGTGTGTATTTTATATGCATGAGGTCCTGGGGTTGATCCCCTGTACTTCAAAAACAAAAAGCAAAAACAAAATTTATAAAAAGGGATAAAAGGATCAAGATGTGGTAGGTATATCTGCCAATTCCCCCATGATGAATTTATTTGTTGTGTATACAAATGTATACTAATAAAAAAGGAAAAAAGGCTGGCTGGCTTCTTTCCTTCCTGCCTGCCTTGCTTCCTACCTTTCTTTCCTTCTTTCCTTCCTTCCTTCCTTCCTTCCTTCCTTCCTTCCTTCCTATCACCCACACCCATACAGCTGACACAGTGCCTAGGTACAGTCATTAATAATGAAATCATAGAAACTGTGTGGTTATTCAATTCACCTTTAATTGCATGCCTTCTTTTCTTGAGCCCGTGAGTCTTATATTATTGCTGAATATAAGACACTCCAGTAGTTTCCTAGAATACAAGGTTATAACTACCAACCAAGAGCATTTCCAAACCAGAAATTTAATGTTAGAAGTTTAAAAAGTTCATGAAAAGTATGTCTTAATGTAAGAATTTTTATTCCAACTCAACTGGTGATGTTACGTAACTACCTGAAAAATTAGGTATTGCACTGTGTAAATTACTCTGTGATGCCACCTAGTGGTGTAAGCACTACAGAGCTTTATTACTCAATACTTTAAAATTTTTTATACTACAAATTTAATGTAATGGCCAGGGATATAGTTCAGCGGCACAGCACCTGCCTGGCAAGCACTAGGTCAAGAGTTTGATCCCAGATACAAAAATGAATAAAAAATAATTTAAAAATTTATGTAATAGCTAAACATAAGATACAAAAGAAATTTACTATAAAACCTCTACAGGTGATTCTTATATATAAAACACTAAAACACTAGCAATAAAAGAAAAAACTGCTTCACAATTTAGAACTTGTATACTATCTAGAAATAGGAAAGATAATCCACAAAATGGCAGAAAATATTTGCAAATTGTATATTTCGTAAGACTCTACTATCCAGAATAGGGTAGGGATATAGCTCAGTGGTAAAGCACCTGCCTGGTAAGTGCAAGGTCCTGAGTTCAATTTGCGGTACAAAAACATTTTTTTAAATGCTACCCAGAATATACAAGAGACTTACAACTTAACAGCAAAAGGCAACCCAATTAAAGCATGACTCATGGGCTGGAATAGACATTTATCCAAAGAAAATATATAAATGGCCAATGAGCACATGACAAGATGCCTAATATCATTAAGTCATTAGAGAAAGGCAACTCAAAGCTACCATGAGATATTATATCCCACTTGTTAGAATAGTTTTCATAATTTAAAAAGCAAAGCATCAAAAACAAAATAGCAGAGCAAACATGTTGGAGAAATGTTAGCAAAGTTGAAGATGTTAGCAAGGATGTTGAGAAACTGGAATCCTTGTATGTCTCTGGTATGGAGGTGAGACACTGAGAGAGTCCAACAGTTCTTCAGATAGTTAAACACAGACTTACTATATGAGCTGAGCATGGTACTACATGCCTGTAGTCTCAACATTCTGCAGCTAAAGCAGAAATACTGAAAATTGGAGCCCATCCAGGGCAGCTTAACAAGAGCCTGTCTCAAAGTAAAAAAATTATAAAATGTCGGAGGATGTAGCTCAGTGTGTAGGCCCTATGTTCAATTCCCAGTATAGCTCTCCCCACATATGTATGTATGGTCTAAAACTTTCATTCCTTCTTGTATTCCCAAGAGAAAACAGATGTCAAAGTTAAAGTAGCAGCAAATTTCTAAAACAAAGCAAGTTGTATTCTGGAGTAATACTAAAGGTCTAGGATTAAAATCCAGAACAGGCCAAGGTGTCCTCCACTAGGTCTGGAAAATAAAGGAAAGGTTGATTAGACAAAGAAATCTCTGGGAGTCATTATAAAAGTAAGTTTATTAGTTCTTTCAGGGCTTGAAGGACTGGCAAGCCCTGACTGGCAAACAGCAGCAGTCACCAAGTAAAGTTAGTCTTAAGATTATAGGTGGCTGTTCTGTTGGTTGCTGAGAAGAAAAAAATATGGCATTAAAATATAGATTCTATTCCACTACAGTGGCTTAGCAGGAAAATTCTTTGAACAATCATTTGAAACTGTTTTTCCCCCCTTGTCCACTTGGCTCTTTTTTAGATATGTATGTCAAGAAAGTGTTTATTTGTATGCTCAATTTCCACACAGGAATTTAAAAAAAAAAACCTTGTATGTGAGTATTCATAGCAGCATTATTCATAATAGCTAGAAAATGCCAAAGGAACAAATTTCTATCATCTAATAGTTGAATTAAAACATAGTATATCCATACAATGGAACATTACTTGCTATAGAAAGGAATGAAGTACTATTACATTGGTGAATCTTGAAAACATTTTGCTAAATTAAGAGAATCCGGGTACATGTTATGATTCTGTTTCCATGAAATGTCCAAAACAGGCAAATCTATAAAGACTAAAGCAGATTAATAGTTGCTAGGGTCTGGGAAGAGGAGTGGCAAGTGACTGCCTAGTAGGTATAGGGCATTTGGGGTAAAGGATGTATAAATGTTCTGGAATTAGTGTTAATTGTTCACAACCTTGTGAATGTACTAAAAGCCAGCAAACTGTATACTTTAAAATTAATAAAATAGCACTTAGGAGCAGTGGCACATACCTGTAATCCCAACTACCCAGGATAAGACAGGAGGAATCACAAGTTCAAAACCAACCTGAACAACTTAGTGAAACACTGTTGTAAAAGTTTTAAGATACCATCTTAAATAGCTCAGTTAGAGCATTTGCTTAGAATGTGTAAAACCATGGGTTCAATGCCCAGTACTGAAAAAAAAATTATAATGATCTTCATATTGATTGCATTTTACCTGGTTTTTAAGAAAACCTCCATTGACTGACAGAACTCCAGAATCTTATTATTACTATTATAGATATATTTTCCACAGTTGTTGCTATTTTGTATTTATTTGTTTTTTAATATCATTTGATACATACTTTTCATCTATGAAGTTCCCACAGTTTTTAATTTGGTGACTGCTTATATTTTAGTGTCTGTACACGTAGTTTAGCCATTCCTCAAATATTCGGTGGCTCTTTAATTTTCTTTCTAAATTTCAAAAGTCTGCTATAAACACTTAAACAAAGAAGAATATTTTAAATCCTCTATTGATAATGCATTGGTCTTTCTTCTCTGAAACAGAACTTCTGAATCCTTTGTAAAAAATTTTTTAATATTTCTGTTTTTTTCCCTGACTTTTCTTTGGTAAATATATACAAAATTATATTCTACTGGTAATGCATAAGGAAAAATGGAGGAGATTAATGTTTATTCAATGTCTACCCTGTTCCAGGCTCTTTGCCTAGATTCTTTCTATTATTTCATTTAGCTCCTGTATCTCCTCTGTCCTGAAATATCTACAGAAGCTGTCAAGCAGAGAAGCAATAATCAGACCCCAGGGGTTTTTGTCTCTAACTTACATGCTGTTTTTCCTTCAGATTTACTAATACTGTGTTTTATACTTTTTAAAAATGCTATTTAATAGGGGTTCTGCATTTCTCAAGTGATTATATTTCATTATGCATACTTATCTATATTTTTGTTCATTTATTAATGGGTTTTTAACTAAACATTTTTATGTTTCTTGTAGCCTGATATTATGTGTCAAAGCCTTGATCATAATTTCTTTGCTTGTGTTTACTCCTGTCTTCCAGGCTCTTGATGGAAATGTGTATGATCACCTCAAGGATTATTTAATAGCCTTCAGTCAGACTGAGCTAGAAACATGCCAAGCTGTGCAAAACACATTCCAGTTTTTATTAGAAAACTCCAGCAAGGTAAGGTACTGTTAGTATAAAGGGTAGTATCTTTATATGTTATAAATAGTACTTTATATGTTAGACTCTAAAATGTTTTGCATACAAATGAAATGAAGATTCCAGTAGAATTAGAATAATACCTTAAAGAAAACATTTCTGGGAATAGCATCCTTTTAATAGAGTTGGAGAATGTTCTTGTGCATGAATTGGTGACATTGTTACTGCAACTAAAAGCAGAAAGGGAGGTGATGAACCAGGCTAGCTTAGAGCATCAGTCCCTGTCATGTGCACTGCATTGAGGAGAATGGTTTAAAAAGTTACATCTTCCACTAAAAAGAATTTTGAATATACTGAACTCAGTCATTTGGGGGAACAACAGGGTCACATCTCAGTGTAAAGAAATAATAAAAGGACACAATGGGGAAAGTAGCATTTGATCATTTTTATTAACGTGAATACAGAATCTTATATATACAAATTAAACCATACTATATGTCATTATTCTTTGATAGTAGTCTTCCACTTAAAAATGTTAATGTGTCACCTTTGATGTGTCACACTGTGTGCGGAGCAAATAAATGTGTTTAGTTTTTTTCTAGAGTCTGATTATAACTTTTGAGAATAAAAAAAATTATGGTTTTTGCAGAAGTTTCACATTAGAAACTGTGCTTCAGAAGACAAACTGTACCTGTGATTATTAGTGTGTTATTTTCTTTCTAATAAATGGATATTTCCTGACCAAGTATGTGCATTTATAAAAATAGATGCATTTTCTAAATGACACTTCAAAAGATCTAGTTCAATTCTCTTTTGTGGCAGGGACATTGGAAACTAGCTGTTACTGTTAGAAGCTGGAAAGGTACCAGAATATTCATCTTCAAAAGGTAGTGACCAAAGGCAGGAGAGAAAATGGACATAGAATCATATGTATTCTTGTTTTCAGTGTATCAGAGTGCCAATTCTGTTTTTAGAAGATTAAAAATGCTGTTAATATGGAAGCACAAACATTGCTTTCTAGCATGGTGCTTTAAAATCTTATCATATATTTATTATCCTATTTTTTTACACCTTAGAATCCAATAAAAAAGACAAAAGAATTGATGTGTAGAAAAAAGTATACATAGCCGGGCGTGGTGGCTCACGCCTGTAATCCCTGCACTCAGGAGGCTGAGGCAGGAGGATCGTTGGGAGTCCGAGACCGACCTGGGCTACAAAGTAAGTTCAAGGCCAGCCTGAACTGCATAGAGAGGCCCTGTCTCAAAAAGACAAAAAAAGAAAGAAAGAAAGAAAAAAGAAAAAAGTGTACATGGATAAATGGGTAGTAAGTTTTGAGAAAGAAAATGTAATTTGTTAGTTGCAGAATTACAGTAATGGGTTTGTAGTGTTGACAGTTCTTTTTGTATTAGTATATTTTATTTGAATTTTTCATTGGGCAATCTTAAAAACAAGTTTATAAAGTATCTCAGCTTTGTTCCCTTTGTGGAATACTTGATTTTTGACCACTGATCAATTTTTTGTTGTCATTTATTGGTTTATTCAGGTTTTCTGTTTCTTTTTCAGCACATTTTGGTAACTTACATTTTTCTAGGCTGAGGTCTATTTTAGTTGCTATCAAACTAGATACATGATTTTTTATAAGGTTTGTTTTGCTGCTATAGTTACCTCCCTTTTTATTCCTAATACTGTTTATACTTTTTCTCTTACTTTGATTACCCATACCAGTCTATTTTGTTTATCTTGTTTTTTTCCATTTTTTTTTTCTTTTTCTCTTTTTATCGGTACCGAGGATCGAACTCACGACTGCCTGCTTGCAAGGCAGGTGTTTATGCCACTGAGCTAAATCCCCAGCTCCCATTTTGTTTATCTTTGCCAGAGCTTTCATTCTTCTCAATATCTTTTGGCCCTTTCATTTTTACCCCATCTACCTGATTTCTTTCTACGTTCTTTTTTTTTTTTTTTTTGTACCAGGGATTAAACTCAGAACCTCACATTAACCAGGCAAGTACTTGAGCCACTGAACTAAATCCTTGGCCCTCTTTCTACATTCTTAGAGTTTATGTTCTTGCTCTTTCTCAAGCTTATTTTTCTGTTTAAGCCTTGTATTTTTAGTCTTTCTGTTTTCAAGTGAAACAGTTTAAAGCTAAAAAGTTTCTTCTTTAACTACGATCTGTAATACATAGGACCTTTGTTATTTCAACACATGCGCTGTCCCATTAACCCCAAATTATTTTTTTAATTTTAAAGAGAATTTTTAAAAAAAACAATAAAGATGATACAGAATTTCAAAACAAGTTGATGGGAAATTATCAATGGTTATTATATTGCATTTTGTTGTCTTCAAAATAGTTGCTCAGATTACCAGGTATAGGCATGCAAAATTGGTCAAACAATACAAGCACCACCTGTTCTTTCAATGAAGTAATAGAATGAGTAGTAAAATTATCTTAACTGTCGTGTGTGTGTGTGTGTGTGTGTGTGTGTGTGTGTGTGTGTTTCCCTGCCTTCTTCTATCCTTTCCCCTATGGCAATTGTTCTTTCCTTTTGAACACTTTGTTTCCCTTTTATAATGTCTATTGAACCTTTTAGATCTTATTTACTATTGTAGTTTCTTATGCTAGGGAGACAAAATGATGCTTGCACATACAAGTCAGATTTATTTCACTTATGAATATGGTCTCTAGTTGCATCCATCTACCTATGAAAGCCTCAAGTTTCTTTCTTTATAGCTGAATAGTACTCCATCATATAAAAATGCATCTTTTTATCCATTCCTTGGTTTTTGGCCATTTATAACCCCTGAATTACTTAGAAGTGAGTTTTGCAGTTTTTAATTAGTGGGAATATGTGGTAAGATTACATTTTTCAGTTCTAATTTTATGAGAAAATGTATTTTAATTTTATCCGTTACATTTATTCTAATTTAATCAGAGAGGTTAACACCTGACAAGATTCTTTGAAGTTCCTTTTTCACGAAAGAATTCGATTGCATATACTACCCTTAGTTTATAAAAATAAAAAAGTACAATCATAAAATATAACTACTATTACAAGCATGCTTAATTTCCTGGGATTTTTTTTAACGCATCTTAAACTTGAATCTAGTGATTCATAGGCGTCACATGGAGTCAGAATGTCTATGTGACTTGTGGAAGGTCACACATTGACACACTACTTTCCATGCTCTTCTTCTGTAGTATATTATCTCTTTAGCATTTATATTATTTTAATTGAAAATGAATTAAGGATTTATAAGCCACTTTGGGCATCTGAAGAGATAATCTTTCATTTTCTGCATTCATTCATGTGAGTATCTTGCTCCCCAGAGATGTAGAATAAATGAGTGCTCTTATGTCTAGACTGAAAGTGGTTGGAATAAAAATTTAATAAGAATGTTGTATCTGGGAGCTATGCCTGTGTTCTTTTGTTCTAAGTGAGAAGAGCTCACACCTACAAGTTTTTTGTCATGCGCTTTTTGTTACAAAAAGCTTTTTTGCTGCTATTGTACTGCTGAAAACAACTGCATGATTTGATAACCCCGTGGGAAGTCTGAAACTCCTTTAAGTTTTTTATTCTGCACCATTATTCTTTATCTTCTAGGGTAAAAATCCATTTTTCCCATATGTCTAAAATGTAACCTGTTCTCAAAAGTGTTTTGGAGATAATTCAAACGAACACTATAAATATAAAGGCACTCTGTACATCTTTCATACCCTAAATGGAAACATTTGGCTCTAAGAGCTTTTATTAAATTTTAATTATTTATGAAGCTTGTTTTTCCCCTTAATATTTTATGAAATGCTTTGTATATGTAACTGAAGCAGATGTTGTAATAGATACTTTCTCTAGCGTAGTACTTCCTAAGATACTTCTAGTGGCCTTGTGGTTTGTTTATGTGTGCTTGTTTTTCTATCTGCATAAAGAAACTTGTACCAAATAATAACTTAGCTTTTAAAAATTCATAAAATAACAGTGTTATTCTATATTTCTTTATAAAAGAAGTTTATTTTATCTCACAGTTCAGATATTTTAGTCTGGCTTTGGCAGGCTTAAACATAGAAACAATCTGATAGAGAATCGTGAGTGGAGGAAAACTACTCACATCATGGTGGCCAAGAAGCAGAGAAACGTAAGGCTAGGAAGGGAGATACACTCTTTTAGGTCACACTCCCATGAACCTACTTCCTGCAAAGACATCCCATCTCCTAACAGAAAGTCAGCTATATCACCCTCATGATTGAATCACCTTCCAGAAGTCCTGTCAGTGAATGTACGAGGCTTTGAGGGGACATTCTCAAGCCAAAGCATGACATTCCACCTTTGGCTTAAAAGTCCAAGTCCAAAGTTTCATCTGAGACTCAAGACAAACTCTCACCTTTGAACCTGTAAAAATCAAAAGAAAGTTAAATATTGTCAACATACACTGTCACAGCATAAATATTCCCTTTCCAGGAGATGGAAAGAAATGGGACCAAAGCAAGACCAAAACTTGCATGACAAACAAATCCTGTAATTTGGTGTGCAGCACCTGGGGCAAACGTGAACTCCAGTTTGGGCAGCCCCACCAATATAATATGGCTGCTTTCTGCTCTTTTGGGGTGACTTTGCTCACTGCCTGTGACTTTTTCAGACATTTCATGTTCCTGGTTTGTTCAGCTTTCTGGGCTCTTCACTACACTTTCAGTTTCACGCTCACAGCCTTACAAACCCTGCCTGTCAGTGGCATACTGCCTCGCATCCTAAACCTTCTAAAACCAGAGTGAAAGGTTTCCTGACTCCACAGTGCTTTAACCTTGTAAAACCAGAACCTCATGGATAGTACCAAGGTCTCCTGCAAACTCAAGCAGTAACTGGGTTCCCTAAAATCATGGCTGCAGAAGCCTCTGCCTGGATGACTGGGCTCCAGTAAACTCTTTCCTACCTGACCCTGAATGAGCTAGGTGCCCTGTGTCTGTCTTTTCAAAGTCTTTTACTTGGACACTCAGGTCTGTAAAAGGTGGGATCTTGCAGTTAGGCTCTTTTGAATTCCTGGGGTACCCTCAAGGGATCCTTCCTATTGTTCTGATGCAAATTACAGTTGGATGGCAGAGCATAAAAACACATGATCTAGAGTCCCAGCTGCTATTGGTGACCATATTTTTAAGTGAAATCTTCTGAGCCTGGTTTTTTCATTCTATATTTCTGTGGGCATTATGGTCTTGTGGGCTCTGATCAGAATGTCCCATTAAACTTAGATTAAAGCATTCTGAGGTTTCTCCAGCCTGCATCTCCAAACCTTTGTAAAGTCCCCCCATGAGCCACAAAGGCTTCGGAACCTTCTGAATCATAGCACTGACTCCATACCTGGTACAAAAATGTGTCTTAATCTCTTTTCTTTCATTGAGACACAATGCCCAACACCTTTAACTTAAAGGAGGAGAGGTTAGGGTTAGGCTTATGTTTCAGAAGTTTTGGTTCATGTTTGGCAGGCTCAACCACAGGAACAGAATAGTGGACAGGCTTGAGTAGAGGAAATCTGCTCACATCATGGCAACCAAGAAGAAGGAGGAGGAAGAGGAGGGGGAGGGGGAAGAAGAGAGAAAGACAGAAAGACAAAAAGAGAGGACAATGGGGAGAAAATGGAAAGTTATACCTTTCTAAGTCTTATCCCCCAAAAACATACCTCTTTGAACCAGACCACACCTCATAATAAAAAGTCAGATACATAACACCCCACACACACACCATAGTTCAGTCACCTTCCAAAAGCCCTACCTTTGACCACGTGAGACCTTTGGAGGATGTTCTCAATCAAAACCATAACACAGTGGAATATTACACTCATAAAAAGAAAGGTACTGCTGGTATATCCTGTAACATACATTTCACAGAATTAAAAAATGTAAATAGACATTAACATAAGTTATTGTTGGCTGAATTCACCCTCCCCCCAAATTCATATGGGAGATAGACCCTAGGAGAGTAATTATGGTAAAATGTAGTCATTATGATGGCTCCTAATCCAGTATGACTGAAGTTCTTATAAGAACTGAAAAATAAAAAGAAGCAAGCACAGAGAGAAGATCATATGAAGGTACCAGAGAGGGATGGTACCATCCATGAAGTCCTGGTTTTACAGGTATAAAGATGGTCAACTGCAAGCCATAGAGAATGGCCCTCAGGAGAAACCAACCCTGCCAACACCTTGATACTAGAATTTTGACCTCCAGGCTGTAAAGAAATAAGTTTCTGATGTTTAAGCACCGAGTCTGTGGTATTTTGTTAGGCAGCCATAACTACTTAATACAATTGTTTTTCCACATTAATAATCCGGAAATGGAAATCAAGACCACCAGGAGATTCCATTTTATGTATCAAAAGTAAAGACAGAACCAGGTATGGTGGCTCATGCTTGTTAATCCAGCCACTCAGGTAACAGGAAGGAGTACAGACAGGAGTGCAAGTTTGAGGCCAAACAGGGCAGTTTAGCCAGACTTCATCACAAATTGAAAACAAAATTTTTTTTTGTTTTGTAGTTGATGTAGTTCAGAGCTCCCTGAATTCAGTCCCCATGAAATGGATGGGCCAGTATGTGGGTGGGTGGGTGGATGGATGGATGGATGGATGGATAGATAGATAGATAGATAGATAGATAGGTAGGTCAGAGGAGAATAAATGTTTATAAAAATACAGATTAATGGAAACTTATACAATACCCTATAGGATACAAATTGCTGTATCCAATTTGAAAACATTTGGACACAAAAGAATATTGTTATGGTTCAGTTAAGTATCCTCATTGTAATCATGGTTACATAAAGCTAAAATATGATAAAAGTATTTCTGTACTCACAACACACAAATGATACATATATATATAGTTGGCAAAAGCTAAGGAAGCTTTAGGTCTGTACCATGTTGATTTCTTGTTTATCACTGTACTACAGTTATGCAAAATGTTAACATTAGCAGGTAAACTGGAGCTCTTTTCAGTTTTTTTCTATTTTCTTGTCTGAAAGTCTGAAATCTAAGTGTCAGCAAGCTCCCTACAGGCTGTAGAGAAAGATTAGGTCTTTGCATCTTCCAGCTTGAGTACCCTATAGTCCTTGGCCTGGTGACAAGTCACTCAAAACACTGCCTCAGTGGTTGCATTGTCCTCTCCTTTTTCTGTATTCTCTTTGAGTCTGTTATAAGGACAAGGATCTTTGGATTTAGGGTAGTCTAGAATGATCTTATCTCAAGAATTTTTAACTTAATCACATATGCAAAGAAACTTTTTCCAAGTGATATAACGTGTACAGGTTTCAGGGATTAAGCCATGGGTGTATCTTTTGAGGGGCTCCCATCTAGCTCCACAGCTGTTAATGTTACAAAAAGAAGCAGGCCTCCCCATGAAAACAAACCAAACTTGACCAAAATAAGCCTAATCCAAAGTAAGCCTATAGATTAAAACACCAGTTTAAAGAAATACAGGAAATAAAATGCAACAAGAGATGCAGTCAACAAAATTAAGACTGAGAGACTGTAGAAAAAAACCTAATTTCTTCAGCAATTACAAGAGGGGAAAAAGGAAGAAGAAATTTATGGTATATGAAAGGAAATCTAAGCAACATCTGGTTACATTCTGGGACTTTAGTTAGATCCAGGTTGAACATTATTTCCTTAGAAACAGGGAAATTTGGATGTTAATTGGTTGTTTTGTAAAGATTGGTAAATTTTAATATGATTTTTTTTTTTTTTTTGTGGTGCTGGGGATCGAACGAAGGGCCCAGTGCATGCAAAGCAAGAACTTTACCACTGAGCCACATCCCCAGTCCTATGAATATGTTTTCTTAAAAGAGCCAAGTTTTTTTAAAAAGGAGGTGGGGCTTTGTTCTCTTAGATATCTCACTAATATATGTATGGATCAGATAGGGGTAGAAGTAGTAGGTAGGTTTATTCATGAAACAAGATCAACCCTGAGGAGATGTTTTTGGATATTGTGATGAGTATGTATGAATGTATTATACTATCTCTTCTACTTTCATATGTGTTTGAAATTTTCCCTAAGAAAAAGTTTTAAATTTTTAAAAGTTGTCCTTCCTCATCAGTTGTTTCGTTTTGTTTTGCTACAGGGTCTCACTGTGTAGTTCAGTTCAGGCTAACCTTGCACTCACTATGTAGCCCAAGCTGCCTTCCAATTCATGTCGATGTCCTGCCTTGGCCTCCCAAGTGCAGGGATTACAAGTGTGCATCACCAAACCCAGCACCAAATTGATTTGTAATGCTTGAGATTAAGGTAGGCAACTAGAAGGATGACCCACATACCCTTTCTACGAAGTGGTTAGTGAGGCTGTGATGGCTGTATCATAAGCTTTAGTTTTCCTAGTTTACAGCTAGAGTCCAAGAAAAGTGCAAAGTCACTTTTCCCTTTAAGAATATATTTATTCAGTGTGCCTTCCTAACCAGATTCTCTCAGAACTCTTCACCCCATCCTTCCCTTCCATCTGAATTAGATACTACGCTGTTACGTTTTCCCTGGGCCCTCTACATACTTCCATAGTGTATTTTAATTGTATAACCTATTTGCTCCTCCCAGTTTCCACATTATGAAATTATTTGAAAAATACAAACTTTGTTTGCTTGTTATTCATCTTTGCATTCCTCCTCACCCCTGCACTTCATGTTGGACATACTAAACTCTCTCGATAAACGTTGAATAGTGAGGGGGAGGGAAGCAGTGGTGAATTAAGATTTCATTGGTAAATAAAATGGAAAATATACCTCCTACTGGATCCTTTCCTTAAGTAATCCATCTTTTCCCGAACTACCAAGATAAAGCTACAGAGCTACTTTGAACTTTTTCTCTGCCATTTTCCAGTAGAGCTGCTAATGAGCTATAATTGACTGCAAATGAAAGATGGCTTAAGAATAAGCAAGGCAGCACAATAGTATATGGGTTTCTGCATACCATATGTTGCTGATTTTTATTCTTTTCTGGGTTATATAATGCAGTGTATTCTTGTTCAAATGGTTGCCTGTCTATGGTGTTTATTTTGCTCCTCTTTGTATTTCATAATTTACATAGATTCCTTTGTAGTCTATCTTCTTGTTGTATTTTAAGATAGTAATTAGAACATGGCCTTGTTAAAAAAGATGCCAAAATACACTCTGAAAATACTAATTTGTGCTAGGGATAGGATTATGTGGTAGTTTCCTACTATATGGCAACTTCCAGGAAACAAGATTTTTAAGAGGCTCTTAAAAACCTTAGAGCTGGGAGAAACCAAAGAGTAGCATGCTTTCTATTTACATACATGTAGGCCCTTATAAAAATAGCTTTTTGTATCTTTATGCTATCTCAAAATACTATATATTATCTGGTCTCCAAATCTGGGCCCATTTCTAAACTAGTACTTTCCAAATTTAGATTTTTGAGAAAATGGGACACATAACTAACAAATCTTATCTAAAATGAAAAAATGTGTGACTTCATTTCTTTTTTACCATATAGTATTGAATGGTTTCTTATTTGAATGGGAAAAAACTGTTAAATCTTAAACTTTTACTGGACTTTTTAACCTTATTAAAGACTTAAAGACATCTTTTTCTCTTTAGGTGGTACGGGACTATAATCTTCAGCTGTTTTTACAAGAGAATGCCGTATTTCACAAACCTCAGCCCTTCCAGTTCCAGCCCTGTGACAGTGATACTGTAAGGGAATTTGAGATTCTCATTTCCTTTGTTGTTGACTTGTGTTTGTTTGTGCTCAGATAACTTACCATCCTCAGAATAGACAGGAAAAGTTGAGTCTTGTGAACTTTGTAACAAGCTTGAAGATGTGGAGAAATCATAACAACATTTCTTTTTTCTAAAATGTAGCTAATAAACCCACTGTCGGTATGCTGACCACTTTCCACCAAGTAGGGTCAAATTGTAAGACAAGCTAAGTTACTAAAAGTCTGAAGACAACTGAAGAAGGGAGAAAAAATATTCAACATACGTATTCAAGTATAAAATATGCCCTTTGTTCATGAAATTCTTAATGTTATACCTTCCAAAGGAACCAGTGCTTAAGTTTCAGCCAGAAGAGAATTAATAAATGGAATAATAAATATGTACATGGAGATATTTTGATTGGCTTTTTAAAAAATATAGACCTTTGATAATCCTTTTCGGGGGCTGGGGATTTAGCTCAGCGGCATAAGCGCCTGCTTTGCGAGCAGGGAGTTGTGAGTTCGATCCCCGGTACCGATAAAAAGGAAAAAGATAATCCTTTTCAGTTTATGGAATGTTAAAGTATTAACATAAATCCAAAACTGACAATTTTAAATCACAGACATTAATCATACATTTTTTGAGTTTATGAGAAATATTTGTCATTGAGTTTTTCTTAAAAGCCAAATTATTAATTGAATAACACAAAAAGTGAATTTTAATATCTGCAAAATGAGAAAACAGATGTTGGCATAGTAGCACATTTTCTCAGTATAGACAAGCCAAGAGGGAAGTCAAGTTAGATATAAAAAGTCTTTTGTTAAATTTATGTAGAATCGGGGGTTTATTATATAGTTCAAGGTTTAATGGCATCCATTTAGTAGAAATATATTTGCTGGAGGCATCTCTCCTTTTCTTATATTATAAGTAGCCTTGTTAGTATTTATATAAAGGAATGTAGGAAATCAGTATTTCCCTAGATAATAATCTTTGCCTTTTATATTAGTGATGTTTTTTATCAGTCAGCTTTTACTTAATGACTCAGTGATGTCCTGTAAATTGACTTCTGTAAAGACTGGGGTGAAATGGAGTGTTAGAAGATACTGGGCATCATAAGCTTGTCAGGTTTAATTTATAATTGTGATTAATTTGATATTATTTTATTTTTGCCTATTTGCCTAAAGTCAGAGTGACAGCAGTTCTCATTTCACTTTTCAAAGCTCAAGTGTGCTAAGCCTTAAATCTATCCTTATTTTCTAAGACTGCTTACTGTTCTTAGCTGTTGTGTCCCTAAATTTTTCCTTACAATTCTAACTCTATGCTGTTTTCTGTCCTTGTGCAATCTTTACTGGGCAGAGTTTAAAAGCTGCCCAACTGGTGGATATTGAGCTCTCCCCTGTCAGTGCTCTGAGAATGACCATAGCTGAGGTATATGGGGCTGTGGGTCAAGGGTTGGAGGGATGGGATTTGTGGGTTTGCATGTTAATGAAGGGTGGGACCTGATGTTGGGCTGAGGCTTGTTCATGTTTATAGATGCATTGATTGCATCAGCGGATTCCTTGTGTTTTTAGGAATTTCCTGTACTGCGTACAAACAAATTTGAGCTTCTTTTTTTTCATTGCATTTAAATCACCTTAGTTTTCCTCAACAGGAGAGGTAGGAGGAACTGTAGAGTTCATCCTACTTTTATTAAAGAGAAAACAGTAGCCTAATAAAGAAAACAACTTGGCCAGAATAATATCATGAATGAATGACACATGCAGCTTTTGTGATTGCAATACTAATGTTTTTCTACTATTCTGTTCTGTTTACCAAGGAAGAATATCCAGCAAGCAAAGAGCAATTAATTTTTTCATAACTTAAAATGATAAATAACTATCTTTTATAAAAAGTATTCAAGATTGTTGACTGGGCGTGGTGATGCATGCCTATAATCCCAGTACCCTAGAAGCTGAGGCAGGAGGGTAACTGTGAGTTCAAGGCCAGTTTGGGCTACATAGGGGAGTCCAAGACCAGTCTGTACTACATAGTAAGACCCTGTCTCGAAAAAAAATTTTCTTTTTCTTAAGTTAAAAAAATTTTTTGGGGCAGAGATTTAGCTCAGTGGCATAAGCACCTATCTGACAAGCGTGAGGTCACGAGTTTGATCCCCAGTACCCCCGCAAAATTTTTTTAAAAAAATCTTTAGGATCTTAAAATGTTAACTATAAAGTATTTTGTGTGCATCTCAGTGCACCTTACTTCCATTTCCAGAATATATTACAAAAGTCCTTAGGAACATTTCCTTACATTCTGTGACAAAGCACAAGGTCAGCCAGGGATGGAAAATAAGTATAGAAAACACACATGTTTATAAAATTAGATCAGTATTGGAAGGAAAGTTAGATCTTCACAAGAAGAAAAAACAACTTTCCCCAAGTTTCCTAGTGAGAATGAGTGAACCCTTTCTTCTTTACCTTCCTTGAATTGTAAATAACAGACCGTCAACGATGATATGAGCAAAAAGCTAACATTAACTTTCTAATATATATTTTCCTAGCAACTATTTCTGATATTTAATTCTTCTATAGATTAATAGTTACATTAAGTTAAATGTCCACTGGCTTTTGGATTTTTGCATGTTTAAGTGTTGCTTAAGTGGAATTTTTATGTATCTATTAAAAATAAATACTTAGCAAAAACTGTCCTTGTTTGTAGAAGTCTCTAAAGGATTAATATACCATGCAGAAATTATACTCAAAAATTCTTCCCACTGGTGATTCATTCCACTGGTAGAAATTTTGAGTTGTGTGTAGTACTGTACTATCTCATAAACTTGAAAGATGGTGATAGAGAATCTGTGGGAGATTCTCTTACTGAGTAAATAGGTACCATCCTTTTGTGCATATGTGGGTACAGTATCCAAAAATTAAAGACTGACTAAAGGTATAAAGTCTGAATTGTAAAATCAGCAGTGCTGACAGGTGTCCAAAGGAGTTGTCCTTGTTTCTTCAGCTTTCAGAATGGGCTAATTTTTCTTAGGAACTTATGAAAATAGAAAGCCATCTCTATAGACTAGCCCCCCTTCTGTAAGCATACAGTGGTACCTAAAGGCTTTGCATCAACACTTTGGTGATGTATAGGCACAGGATGTTTGCTTGAGATTTGGGATTATAGCTCTTAAAAGGAAAGCCTCTAAATGAACTTCCAAAATAAAGATACTCTTTATGAAACTTTTTATCTAGCCATACTTCTCTGCTACAAAGTACCAGACATAAGGACAACAGCATCTGCTGCTGCTGTATCTATTGGTGGTGGTGGTAGTGGTGGTGGTATACTGGAGGGTGTTGTTTGTGTGTTATTACTTAGAGACATACTTGTTTCTTAGATTGGCTTTTGGTATTCTCACCCAAGACAAGGGACTAGTACTCCTTTCATAGAGATATACTCTATAGTGTATCCTTTTCCATAGATTGTCCAGAGGTGTGCAAAATTGTTCCAAGGCTCAGACCATACCAGTTCTCCAACTTACTCCCCTGAGAGACGAGGCACACAACTCAGTCCTCTGGACGAGTTCCTGCTTCTCTCCCAAGTGAAGTGCTGCTAACCTAGCATAGAGAAATAAGTTCAGTCATGCTTCTTAAGAGGCATTGTACCACTTCTCTCCAAGGTAATGTCTTAATGTTTTAAATAGGTGACTCCATGGTCTGTAGACTCTTACTAAAAGTTTTTGGACCAAATGTATTTCAAAATTGAGTATTTTTCAGATTTTACAAAGGTGATCTGTGTACCACACATTACATTATACCCTGAGCCAGGGTATGAAAAAGCACCCTATAATCAAACAGTTTTTTTCAGGCAAGTATGTAAATATTCATATTAATTGAAATAAATAAAGACTATAAATAACATCACTTTAATTCAAGTCAAATTTTGCTTCAAATAAATTTTGCCTCAAACTTACCCAAAATGCCTTATGATTTTCAGAACTGTTTTTTAATTTCAGAATTGGGTATTTGGAATGCAGTAATTTACAAAGATCCAGACTTTTTAAACTTTTTTTTTCCTCTTGGAGATCGAATTTCAGTGTGTTGCTTTAGGCTGGACTAGAAGTCTTTGACTAAAGCAGTCCTCCTGTCTCAGCCTCTGAGTAGCTGAAACTATAGATGTGTGGTACCAACCCTGTCAAGAGATCATTTTTAGAATAAATAATAATTAAATGTATTGGAATACCTATGTGTTAGTTAAATGTATTGGAATACCTATGTGTTAGTAAACTTAATAAAGAATAGATTAAAAATTTAACCTGATAAGTTTTTTATCTACTAATACATTGAAAGTACAAAAAGTACATAACTCTTGCATGAAGGTTAAGGAGATCGTTCCTGGCATGTGACATTAGCATAACAACCATGATACTATCTTTTTTGAAATTAAGTTGTCATAATTGATTTTACTGTATTGGTATTTCACCACAGAGATCATCATTTTTTCCCCTTTCAAATGTCTATATTTTGGGTAATTTGAAAAATAAGATCATTTATTCTGTGAAATCCTTCTCTCCAAGGTTATGTTACTCTCTTAGGCAGGTGCTCAGGCAGATGTCTGTCTGAACTACCTGTGCCTTTATATGGTTACCTTAAAATGAACCAAAATCTTATCTTTCTTTTTCTTTTTTAAGCAGTACTAATAACTTAACCCTTTACCTTCTCACTGAGCTACATCCACAGTCCTTTTTATTTACTGTTTGTTTGTTTGTTTGTTTGTTTGTTTGGGGGAGGTGAAGGAAAGGTTCTTACTAAATTGTCCAAGCCTTCAAAAGTGCTGGAATTGCAGGCATGTGCCACCATGCCCAGCTTCAAATCATATCTTGAGAGATCTTCTAAGGACAAAATAGTTAAAATGATTTAAAGACTAACGTCGAGAATATAAAAACACTAATTTTCTAAATTTTGAAAATGCTTTCATATTTTATTCTAAAAGGATTGGAAATTCTAAAAAACTTAATATTGCTAGGCCTTACAAATCTTCTGAAATGCAATTGAAATAGTTGATCCCTTGTTTTCCCAAAAACAAAATTAAATGAATAGATGGATGTTTTATATCTGAGGAAAAGCACTGCTAATACTTCACTGAAAGGAATTTTATATTTTAGCAATACCTATTCAGTATTTTTGTCTCTATGTCACCACTATTAGTCTTAACTAGATAGGATAATTAGTAACATTGCCTGTACTCCCAGCACTCGGGAGGCTGAAGCAGGAGGATTTTTGCAAGTTTGAGACCAGCACAGGCTACAAAGTGAGTTCAAGGCCAGCCTGAACTGCATACTTAAACCTTGTCTCCAAAAAAAAAAGAATAATTAGTAACAGTATGGGTATATGAAGACTGTGTGGACATGGGTGGTGTATTTATAGGCTCTAAATCCAGGCAGAGTGGCATTGGGAAAAATACATAACCCTTTCTGAGCCTAAATTTCCACAATGATAAGTTGAAAATAGTAGTCTCTATTAGCATTGTTTTGAGAACTAAATGAAATTATGTAAAACAGCACAGAGCTTTAACTCAATAAATGATAAGCTTGTTTTCAAAATAAACATATCTTTGTAGTGTTCTATTTGTTAAAAAGTATAAAATAGTTTACCCAAAGTATGTATGAATCAAAAAAATCACATTTTACACCATAAAATTTTAAAAAGTTTTCACCTGAACTCTCATCAGAGTGAGTACTGATAACATTTTGATTACTACCTTTCATAGACTTTGTGACCCTCCATCGGTATATACATAGATGGATGTAGATATATAACTTAATAGATGTATACTATGTAGACTTGAATTTAAACCTTTATTCCTAATTCAACATGGATATCTGACACTTGGGATGTCTGTAGTCCCTAGCCATCTTAGGAGATTTGACTCTACTTACTTCTCATCAAATAGTTTGTTTTTATATTATCTCCATGACCTTTTAAAAGTATTCCCTGGGCTGGACTTGGTGGTATACACCTTTAGTCCCAGCAGTTGGAAGGCTGAAGCAGGAGGGTTACCATAAGTTCAAAGCCAGCCTGGACTACATACTGAGTTTAAGTCCAGCCTGAACTAAATAGCAAGACCCTATCTAAATGTAATTAATTAGTTAATTAATTTTATGATTATAATATATAATATAGGTATCCCATCATGAATTTTAAATTCCAAGTGAATTAAAAGTTATTTTTCAAGAATGTCTGCCTGATGTGATGGTGCATGCTTGGAAAGTTGAGGCAGAAGGATCACAAGTCCAACCTAGGCAACTTGCCAAGACTGTTATCTCAAAATAAAGTAGAAAAATGCATGTGGATGCTTATTCAGTGGTATAGCATTTGCCTAGCATATGCAAGTCCATGGGTTCAGTGCCCAATATAAAAAAAAAAAGTAATTTTAAAGTTTCTTGAAGGCCCTTAGCTCCTTGTTAAGGTCTCGTATGAATCTGAGATTTCATCTCATCTTCAAACGTTTAGATTTGCCAGTGCAGAAACTGAGGCTCAGAGAGGAAGGAGAAATTAACCTGGAAGATATAACTAAATCTCTTTGGAATGTAAATGTACTTTTAAGTTTCAATGAATGCTTCTTGAAAGAAACAATAAATTTCACAGAATAAAAATTTTTATAAAAATCCTTCATTTGAAGAGTCACTCATTCATTTTGAGTGGATTTTGTAGTGGAAATTGAAACACAAGGAGACTGTATTAGATGATGTTTCATTGTGTGAGGAGAAGGGTGTCAGTGCTAGTCAGCTCTGCGTAGTGCTCAGGAAGTAGTTCCCTCTGGCATGCTCATTCTGTTTTTCACACATGTGATAATCTTGTCATTCTTCTGTCAGAAACTGATTGTAATGCAGCATGTTGTCTCTGAAGGTATTATCCTAAGAATCTGGTGCCCTGGCCCTCACTTTATATTAGGTTATATTAGAAGTTGTTTGTTTCAGTGTATGTTTAGAATACATAATAGTTATGTTCATATGGGGAACAGATACAGCATATCTTGATCATTTTTTATCCCTTTTCCAGGGTTACAAGATCTCCCTATGTAGTCCAGACTGGCCTTGAACTTACTCACTCTGTAGCCCAGGCTCATCCAAAAGACTTAAACTATCCTCCAGCCTTAGCCTTCAAGTGCTAAGATATAGGTATGCACCACCATGCCCTGGGTTATATTTGCTTATATTTGCTGAGGACTTTCTGTGTTCACTTAAGCCCAGTGCTAGATGCCAGCATGCAGAAATTAAGATGGTTAGGTCCCAGATTGCTAAAAGCCATAGAAACCAACTCAGCATCACAATATAACTTGATATTTGCCTAGCAGTGATAACTTAGTAAATGTCTAGCAAGTGAATAAACTATTTCACAACAAAGGTAATACTTGAGCTGCAAGTTGGACAATGAAAATTTGTTGGTCAACAATAAGAAGGTAGGGAAGTCATTCTATCCACAGGGAATAGTACTCAGAAGCACAGGCTTGTATTTAGATTGATACTTATTTTCTAGGAAAAGACCAATGTGTTTCTGAAATATTTTACTAAAACCATAATTCCTAAAATTCTGATGTTTTAAAGGGTGTAACAATCAAATTTATTTGACTCTTCCTGACAGAGAGCGATGAAAACTACCTACTCCATACTTAAAGGTTGATAGAAAAATGGTATAACAAACATTCGTGTTTAGGTTTTAATTTTTGTGCCCGAGTGTGTGTGTGTGTGTGTTGGTGTAATTCTGCTCTTGTATATATGCCTCTTTTAAAATAAATTGAATAAGCTTTTTCAGAGCCAGATGACAGTGCTATTTGATACTTCATTTTCTCATATTCTCCTTTGAGAAGGTAACAGCATTATATGCTTCATAGCTCCTATTTCCATTCTTTTATATGTTTTAAGTACATTTTTTAAAGAATAGAAAGAAAAAATGGTAAAAGAATAACCTAAAAATTAAACTAGCCTGCAATTTAAAAAGAAGCAGTCACTAGCAGTTTCTTGGCTAGAATCAGCCCCTGAAATACTAATATATTTTTAAAAAGTGATCTGCCCTAGATTTTGACTGATTCTGATCTTTGATAGTAGAGGTGACATTAGAGCATTTCCTTTTGTATCTAAAATACTGGGTTGTATTTGCCTTGTATGAAATTTTCATTTGTCAAGACCTATGTTCTAGGTAGCATCTGTCTGTCTTCTGCGGTCTAATTTCAGAATTCATGAAAAGGATAAATTAATTTGGATTTTATCTCGTTCTCTGCCCAGAGGATTCAAAGCCACATTTCCCAATCATTAGCACTAGTTATCTGTCCTAATTATTGGGTATTCCCAAACACTTACACACACTAAATACTCAGCAAAAGGGCGCACTTTCTTCTTCTTTTTTTTAAACTAGGGATTGTTCTCAGGGCCTTCACACTGAGCTAACATCTCCAGTCCTTTTTTTTGAGACAGAGTCTTGCTAAATTGCTACATTTTACAGAGCAGGCTCAAACTTGTGGTTCATCTCTGAGATTATAGACATGCACCATTATGCCCAGATTAAAAGGTGCAGATTCTATGTGGCAATTTGAGTTAGGGCCCATCCACAGTCAGCACACATTTTAAACCATTACTTGTTTTTAAGATTGCTGCTTAGCAAGTAAAAGTTAAATTTCTCCATTAGTTGCCCCTTACCTCTCTACTCTTTGCCAAAATATGCTCTTGAGATTTACTTTAATCTTTTAATATGTCTGGTGTGGTTTTTTATTCTTTCTTTATGCTCTCAAGAACCTAAGAATTGGGCTAGGGGTATAGCTCAATGATAAAATGCTTACCTAGCATATGTAAGGCCTTGTGTTCAATCCTCAGTACTAGAGAGAAATGGAGGAAAAACTTACTAGGAATTACTCGAATATTTTTAAGTGAGCAATAGTGACAAATTTTTTTGTTTCAAGTAATTTTCAGCTGAGTCTTTAACAAATAATTTTATTAGATACTTACTGTATGCAGCTATTTTACCAAAATGTTTAAAATATGACCTTGTTATAGCCCAAAAACCCTTAGAAGATAGGTGGCCTTTTCACCAATTTTCAAATATAGATAAGACTCAGATTAATAAAGATCATAAAGCTGATAAATGGCATACAGTGGATTCAGTATTAAGTCTACCATGCTCAAAAACCTATTTCTGTACTTGACGAATATCTTTTTACCTTTATACATTAGTGTTTTCTGGCTAGTGTACATTTTATTTGCATATGTCTGAGATTAATAATTTAATGTCCTTGACTTCCAAAGAGACACAAATTTAAATGCCTAGATCCTTTTGTAAAGCAAAATGTAATAATGAAGTTCTTGATCACTCAAAGAATGAAATAGAATATGAAATGTAAATGTAAAATTTAATAAGATACGAATTTTGATTCTCATTTTTCAGTGCATAATCTTAACTTTAGCTAAAATATATACATAGAAAAAGTAATTTTCAACACCGTATCAGAGCCCCCCAAAAAAGATTAAAAATGTTAATCTAGTAAGTCAGTTTCTACTTGCTCTATCAAATTTGAGCTATGTAACCCTACAAAGTATTTTTTAAAACTCTTTTCATTATAATATTTTGTTTTTTATACAAGAAATCGTCTTTGGACAATTCATATTTAAAAGAAAGTTTATTTTTCATGGATTCTTAAGCATTTAGAGAAGATTAAAAATAGCTCTGATTCTGGAGTCAGACAGACTTGTTTAGTGAAAGCTATGTCTTGTAATGTCTGGAAAACACTGGAAAAAATGACTTACCTCTCTGTACGCTGATTTCCTTTTCTATAAAATCCCTGTGTGAGAAGGGAAGTGGAAGGAACTAAAAAATAATTAAGATTTGTTATGTACATGTACCAGTTCCCCACAAGGAAATCATTATGTACTGCTAATGTGTACCAGTAAAATTTTTTAAGAATAATACAATGCTGTGTGACCTACCTCATAAACTATAAAAGTTATATGAATTTCTGAGTAATGGCCTAAAACTGGTTAAATCTGTCATTTTGTGATCCAGGGCTGCATTTCATGGTCAGTTATCTACAGTTCATTGCTAAGTTGACGTTTATGTTTAAAGCATCTGTTTCTTTCATTGAAGACATAATATACACTTCAGTTCCACCCTTATATGGATAGTGAAGAAGGTCCTCTTTCTGGAAACTTTTTTTTAAAAATTTTATATTATTAATCTTTTATTTAAGAACTACCCTTCTTTTTAAAGGAAGTGATAGAATTTCGTATTGAAACATTCTTCTCAAGAAGTGGTATAAGAATGTAACTGATTTAAACATACACTGTTAAACAAAAATAGTTTATATTTTTGATTGGGAAAATTGATTGGGAAAAAATGCATGTGGAGTTTGAAAAAAGTTATATTAAGCACTTTCTAGAATCTCTTATACAGTGGGATTTATCACATTGTTTATTTATATTTTGAAATTTGTTCTGTATGAAACAAAATCATAAAATTTCAGAGTGTGAAGTAAGTTTTTGTGATCTTTGATATAGTACTCTTATCTCTCGTATTGGGACATTAAACCCCAGCAAAAGCTCAAAAGCTAGTGATAGACTTCTTATTAAATTAAAATTAATGTCTTGGTTCAAGGGATCAGAATTTTGCTGCTATTAATGTCTTGTTCTTCTCTTCTTAATTCTATTTAAAGATTTTTTTTCTTTAATCACATTGAAACTCTTAAGTTGTTCCTATTTCTATTTCTGCAATGATTTTAGTGTCATATATAGGAGGTTGACACAAATACTTTTTCTTCATAGCCAGCGTCCTTCACAATTAAAAAAAAATCAGTATATAATATTTGAGAAAAAGCTCTCACGTTTGGCAGTACAAGGCAAAAACCCTTGTGGTTTCATACCATTTTCTTAATCTTCTGCTGACTTTCTATGACATGAAACATTCATTTCCACAATAGTTAGGCAAGCTGCCTATTTTGAGTGCTGGTTAAGTGAAGGCCCTCTGGACCAACTATAGAGTGTTAATTGTTGCAATAAGGATAACAATATTTCTCTCTCTGTTGTCTCTCTATTGTAGAGCAGACAATTAGAATCGGAAACTGGGACCACTGAAGAGCACAGTCTAAATAAAGAGGCTCGAAAATGGGCCACACGTGTGGCACGTGAGCACAAAAACATTGTTCATCAACAACGGGTAAGTGTAGTAGAGAAAGCTCTAGATAATTCAGCATAAATTAAATAGCAAGTTAATATAAGGAGTTGAATTTTATATATGACTAAAATAGCCTATGAGTGTGTTTTTTTCTGTATTTTCCCAACACTCAACAGTAGGGTCAAAGTCAGTGATGGTGAACCTATGATATATATGCTACCATCACTGGAGGCTTGTCTACTTGTCTCAAATTCCATAGACCTTCCAGCAGCAATACTTGAATTCTTCAGTTTGCAGTATAATTGCCTAAGAAAAACCAATGATAATGTGTTATAGTTTTAGGTAAAGGAAGAGACATGTATTTGTTGAATTAAAATAGGCTTTTATCTGACAAGACATATCTTTTGAAGACAATTCTGGATTCCATGAAAATGTACTTTCTTTGTTTTTGTGGGTGATTTTTTTTGTTTGTTTGTTTGTTTTTTGTTTGGAGATAGGGTGTCACTGTGTAGTCCAGGCTGACACTGAACTCGCTACTCACTATGTAGCCCAGTCTGGCCTCGAACTCACAGAAATCCTCCTGCATCAGCCTCCCAAATGCCAGGATTATAGGTGTGTACCATCACACCCAGACAAAAGTGTATTTCAAGACTAATCTGTTAAGTGCAAACAAATTCTTTTAAGTATATATATGGTACTACGTTTTATTCTCAATTTCATTTTTGATGTTTATATCCTCTTTCTTTGCCTTCATATCCAACTTCTTAAAAGAATTGTCCTAGCCTGGGGATATAGCTTAGTGATAAGCATTTCACTACTTGCATGAGTTGTCTATATTTATTATATGTATATCCTTACCTCATACTTATTTTTTAGCCCATTACATTTAAAATTTCTCTTTCCTTCTTTCCTCTGTAGACTAAACTTATGTAAAATGGATATTTTGGTTTTTCATTTTTCTTCACTAGTCAGCAATTCCATCATAATTAGCAATTCCCATAATTTTAAAACATCCTCTTCTCAAGTTGGGAGGTGCATGCCTGTAACCCCAGCATTGAGGAGGCTGAGGCAAGAGGGTCATTGCAAATTTGAGACCATCTTGGCTACAAAGTGAGCTCAAGGCTGGCCTGAACTACATAGTGAGACCCTGTCTCAAAAAAATAAAATAAAGAAAATAAAAATAAAAATAAAAATTTTTTTTAAAATTCTCTTCTCTGGATACTCATGACTCAGTATTGTTCTGATTGTCCTTCTGCCTCTCTAATCATTCCTAGATTCTTTCATGGGTTCTCTTTCTCCATTTTGCAATTAAAATATTTAGATTTCTTAGTTCTGAAAGACATTTTTTTCTTATTCATTACTCTCACTATGGGCATTCTCAACCACTTCCAGGGTTTTACTTACTGCCAAATTATAAATTAATATTTCTAACAGTGGACCTTGCTACCATGTGCCCGTTTTCTATATCTTTTTCCTGCTGTGATATCTTACTTCACTATCTTGCAAATACTTCAAAGTCCACTTAACTATAGCAGTAGTTTAAAAAAAAAAAAAAAAAACCTTGAATTTAACACCACAAAAAAGTGGTTTTTGGTTTGGTTTGGTTTGGTTGGTTTGGTTTTGACTTTGATTTGTTTGTTTTTCTTTTTTGAGATAAAATCTCTCTATGGCCCTGAACTCACTACATAGCCCACACTGGCCCCAAACATGTGCCTCCAGAGTACTGGGATTACAGGCCTGTGCTACACTATGCCACACTTGAAAAAGTGCATTTTTAAATATCATCTCTTATTAATGAGACTGTTACGTAGTTTCAGCTTGGCAGTTGTTACTTTGAATCTCTAACATAGTGTCAGTCAGATGGTAGCTTTTGCTGGTGTCATCTCACAGGCTTCACCGCTGAAATATCTGGTGCTTGAGTTGGAAAGATTTGAACAGTTGGGAACTGTAACAGGGGAGGCTTCTTATGCACCTCTGTCATTCTGTGTTCTCTCCAAATGTCAGTCTAGCATAGCAGCTTCATGTTGGCTTTGTGTCTTGCATGACAGCATAGAGCCCCAAATGTGTGAGTCCCAAGAGTAAAAAAATATAACTAGAATTATCCTTCTGATCAAGCCTCAGAAATAAGACAATGATCCTTGTATCCTCTTTTATTCATTCAAGCATTCACAAAGATCTGTCAACAGTTTAGTGAGAAGAGCTGTTAATATGGCTGCAGGGCAGGGCTCTTGCTGGTATTTGTGAGGCCCCTGGGTTTGATTCCCAGCACTCAAGAAAAGAAGGTGGAAGAAAACAATTTAGTGAGAGAGAATATACACTCTACTTGAAGGAATATAGTGAAGTTCTAGAAGGACAGGTAGAATGAAAAATATTGTAGCTGGTTTATTTTTTAAAATACTGTCTCCCACAGTCTTCTTTTCAAACATAGATATTCGTATCTCACATATGGAATATATTCAGCTTTTCACCAAAACTCCCCAAAGCCTGGTTTTTGCTAGAGATCAGTAAACTTTAGGCAGGTAAAACACCAAAAATATCACACTGAAATACATATTAATCAGTTTGGTTTTAAAAATTGACTCAGTACTCTGAATGCTAAGGCAGGTGGATCACCAGGAGTTTGAGACCAGCCTACACTACATAATGAGTTGAAGTCAGCCTGAACTACATAATAAGATCCTGTCTTAAAAAAAAAAAAATCAATGGTTTGTACTGAAAACATCTAAGATCGGGAACAAGACAAGGGTGCTCATTTTCATCATGTTTGCTTTTGATAGTAGTTCTGAAAGTCTGTTTTTTTTATTTAAAGAAAGATTAAACAAAACAGAAAATAGGTAGAAATAGTACATACATTCAGAGAAAAAAAAAAAACCACTAGTTGATGTTGTCGTTTTAAAAATAGTTGTTCAAGGTACAAAAATGGAACATGTAAAATGGGAATTCAAACAGAGAGACTGCAAAAAGTTCTAATCAGCTGTCCAACAAAAACTTAGTAACCTGGTTGTCAATCCTATACATTTAAACATACATGCAGTTATCCATATCTTCATTTATGTTTAGATTAAACAAACTAAAGCAGGTTAAAATCATTCTGAACAAAGAATAATAGTATTGCTGTATTTCACTTCATGACACTCCATGATCAGCACTGGGTACTGTAGTGTCTTCTTTTTAAAACTGAATTTAAAGAAAGACTAAAAAAACAGAAAACGGGTAGAAATAATACATAATTTCAAAGAAAAATAAACAGTAAGAATCACTAGTTGATGATTACAGATTGTCTTCTTACAAATAGTTATTCAAGATACTAAATTGGAGCATATAAAGTGGGGATTCAAACAGTGAGATTGCAACCAGTACTGTTCAACTATCCAGGAAAAACTTAGAAATATGGTTATCAATCCTCTACACTTAAACATATATGCAGTTACCCATATCCTCAATTATGTTGACTTTCAATAAACCCAAGCAGGCTAATATCACTCTAAACAAAGAATAACACTATTGCTGGATTTCACATTATGACACTCCAGGATCAGCACTGGGTATTTCAGTGTCCCCTTTTCTTCAAAGTATTGTTCATTTCACCAATTGTCATAAGATCAGTTCTCATAAACTGTTTATAGATTCTACACATACATGGGTCTTAACATGTATTTTTTTTTTAATTTTGAAAGTAGCAAATATGCAACAGCGCAAGACAGAACAAAGCCATGTAGTGAAATTGGTACAGGATTTCACAGTAGGATACTGGGATAGTAGTACTAAGTACTATGGTATATCTCTTTAATTTAATAATAGCTATCCAGTCAATTACGTATTGTAAAATCAAACCAAAAATAGAATTGTAAAACCAATTGAGAATACTGAATAGAGCAAAAGAAATATAACAAAAAGTAAAAACAACCTATGCCTTCAAACAGAAGATAGAAGGAAATCCCCCATATGTGCTATACTGCATATGGTCATCCTCCCAAGAGATGCTGAAATATCTATCCCCAGTAGGTAAGGGGGGGAGGGGGCAGGTGGGAGAAGAGTGCTTGATTTTCAGCTCGCGTGGAAGTTGGCTCACAGGTATTGGTTCTCCTCCAGGCCCAAGCTGTAGGTGCTTATCAAGAGGGCAGGTGAATAAGCTGCCTGAGTTCCTCCATGCCCAGAGCTCTGGAGCTCTGTTCTCCTCCTGGCCCGCGTTGCAGACGCTTACCAAGAGGGCGGGTGAATAAGCAGTTCTGAAAGTCTTAACCAGAAGAGTTAGACAAGCAAAATGTGTGAAAGGTATTTAAATGGGGAAAGAAGAAGCAAAATTATCTGTTCACAGATGACATGGTCTTATATATAGAAAACTCTGAAGTTTCTACCAAAACAAAACGTTATAGGATAAAAAGCAAGTTGCAGGATAAAAAAAATCAACCCAGCAAAATTAGTTGCATTTGTATATCAACAGTGAGCAATCACAAAAGAAATTAATCCCCAATACCACAACAGGGAAACTAAGAAAAAAAAAATCCATTTGCAGAGCCCCACAAAGAACATAGAAATAGAATTAGCCAATAAGGTGAAAGACTTAGTCACTAAGAACTACAGAAGAATTATGAAAAAAATTAGAGGATGTAAGTAAGTAGAAAGCAACTATTATTAGGGTGATAGTAATACCCCAAATGACCTTCAGATTCAGTGCATTCTCTATTAGAATCCAAATCAGAAGGCATCCAGTGTTCATGGAATGAAATGTATTCTTTTATTTATTTATTTATTTTTGTCTTTTTCCTTTTTATCGGTACCAGGGATCAAACTCACGACTGCCGGCTTGCAAGGCAGGTGCTTCTGCCGCTGAGCTAAATCCCCAGCCCCTGGAATGTATTCTTAAATGACACTGCAACTCAAAATGATCTTCAAATTTAATTTTTCAGAAGCAGAAAAGGCTATCATTTTAATTCATATGGTTTCTCAAGGGACCCCAAATAACCAAAATAGTCTTGAAAAAAAACAAGATTGGAAGAATCCTACTTTTTATTTCAAAGCTTATAAAACTATAGACTTCC